AATAGGCCCAGACAAGCGCAGCCACGTGACCCGGCGGAAGAAAGACGCTCGGAACGAGCGCTTCCACCCCCAAAACGCGGAAGGATCCGCACATGCGCAGGAAGTGCAGCGGGCGCTCTTCATTCGCGAGCGCCGATGACCGATGATGCTCTCAACCCTCCCACGGCCTTGCTGGCTTGGTAATAGGCCCAGACAAGCGCAGCCACGTGACCCGGCGGAAGAAAGACGCTCGGAACGAGCGCTTCCACCCCCAAAACGCGGAAGGATCCGCACATGCGCAGGAAGTGCAGCGGGCGCTCTTCATTCGCGAGCGCCGATGACCGATGATGCTCTCAACCCTCCCACGGCCTTGCTGGCTTGGTAATAGGCCCAGACAAGCGCAGCCACGTGACCCGGCGGAAGAAAGACGCTCGGAACGAGCGCTTCCACCCCCAAAACGCGGAAGGATCCGCACATGCGCAGGAAGTGCAGCGGGCGCTCTTCATTCGCGAGCGCCGATGACCGATGATGCTCGCAACCCTCCCACGGCCTTGCTGGCTGGGTAATAGGCCCAGACAAGCGCAGCCACGTGACCCGGCGGAAGAAAGACGCTCGGAACGAGCGCTTCCACCCCCAAAACGCGGAAGGATCCGCACATGCGCAGGAAGTGCAGCGGGCGCTCTTCATTCCCCAGCGCCGATGACCGATGATGCTCGCAACCCTCCCACGCCCTTGGTGGCTTGGTAATAGGCCCAGAAAAGCGCAGCCATGTGACCTGGCGAAAGAAAGATGCTCGGAACGAGCGCTTCCAGCCCCAAAATGCGGAAGGTTCCGCACATGTGCAGGAAGTGTAGCAGGCGCTCTTCATTCGCGAGCGCCGATGACCGATGATGCTCGCATTCCTCCCACACCCTTGCTGGCTTGGTAATAGGCCCAGACAAGCGCAGGCACGTGACCCGGCGGAAGAAAGACGCTCGAAACGAGCGCTTCCAGCCCCAAAACTCGGAAGGATCCGCACATGTGCAGTAAGTGCAGCGGGCGCACTTCATTCGCGAGCGCCGATGACCGATGATGCTCTCAACCATCCCACGGCCTTGCTGGCTTGATAATAGGACCAGACAAGCGCAGCCACGTGACCCGGCAGAAGAAAAACGCTCGGAACGAGGGCTTCCAGCTCCAAAATGCGGAAGGATCCGCACATGTGCAGGAAGTGCAGCGGGCGCTCTTCATTCGCGAGCGCCGATGACCGATGATGCTCGCAACCCTCCCACGCCCTTGCTGGCTTGGTAATAGGACCACACAAGCGCAGTCACGTGACTCGGCGGAAGAAAAAAGCTCGGAACGAGCGCTTCCACCCCCCAAAACGAGGAAGGATCCGCACATGTGCAGGAAGTGCAGCGGGCGCTCTTCATTCGCGAGCGCCAATGATCGATGATGCTCGCAACCCTCCCACGCCCTTGCTGGCTTGGTAATAGGGCCGATGATGCCTGGTCAGTGGGCCACACTGTGCTTTGCTGTGCATGCCTGGTTAGTGGGCCACACTGTGCTGTGCTGTGCATGCCTGGTCTGTGGGCCACACTGTGCTGTGCTGTGCATGCCTGGTCAGTGGGCCACACTGTGCTGTGCTGTGCATGCCTGGTCAGTGGGCCACACTGTGCTGTGCTGTGCATGCCTGGTCAGTGGGCCACACTGTGCTGTGCTGTGCATGCCTGGTCAGTGGGCCACATTGTGCTGTGATGTGCATGCCTGGTCAGTGGGCCACACTGTGCTGTGTTGTGCATGCCTGGTCAGTGGGCCACACTGTGCTGTGCTGTGCATGCCTGGTCAGTGGGCCACACTGTGCTGTGCTGTGCTGTGCATGCCTGGTCAGTGGGCCACACTGTGCTGTGCTGTGCATGCCTGGTCAGTGGGCCACACTGTGCTGTGCTGTGCATGCTTGGTCAGTTGCAGCTCATGCAATTGAATCGCGGGTCCGCCATGGTGGGGGTGGTCTCCATCCTAGGCCTCTCCATGGCTGCTGACATGCAGACCACAACGTTCATCCCGCATGGGGTGCAGGTAGGCTGAGAAATGCTAGCATGGTCTTTATGCAAGGCCCTCTTTGCTGGTCAGTAGGTCTAGAGCAACAGGAAGTTCTCGAATCTACCCAATTAGTATATGATGGGTGTTTTGCCCTGGTATGAACAGTCACCACAAGATTGATCGTACGGTATGAGTTTCGTTCAACCTCCATCACTCTATTTCCATTCAGGTGGACTGGGAGGCTTTACTCGTGTCTCGCTTTGAAGCCTTCAATGCCTCCATTGCCCCATGGCTGTTAGCCTCTTCTCAAATCTCACCCTGGGGTCTTGCCCCTATTGAGGATGTCTTATCCACAACGCACCATGTCATTGCAGCGTCAAGCCCAAATTGCACAAGTTTAATAAGGATGACGCGAGGGGTTTTTTATGGTTTGGGTTTTGGCGAGTGATTCCGATTTCGGGCATTTCGTTTTTTTCGCCAAACCCAGCCAGCCCACGTATTTCGCCCTGGGGGTTGTGTCAGCACCCGAAAGTCCCAAATCGCATGTGCGCTACTTTTCAAAGCTTGCACACTGCACTTCGTCAAGTTTTAAAAGCATGACCCACGCGCCTCGCAATTTGGGACTCGGGCTTTAAGCATAAAATGTGACCATATGCTGGTTTCCTTATTTCACAACCTTGTCTATAACTGATGCTGTGACATTAGGGAAGTGCTATAATAATAAGCACACAAACTTACTTTCAGCCACTTTGGGCCATAACATCTTTGTTGAAGGTTTAGTCCCCGATTTAGCCGTATGCTTGCTTTGAATTAACATATGAACAGCAACATATTTTATATCGATACACATATACGGTATGTCGTTCTTTGCTCGAGGGGGCATGGTGCCGGAAAACGGCTTTTCCCTCCAGACGGTTGACGTGACGGTCAACTCAAATTCGAAACTGTGGTCTGACACTTGCACAAGATCCGAGCCACCAGTGTTGCTGTCTGTCAGCAAACCTCACCTCACCATCACCACCCCATCCAACGCCGTAGATGTCAGGACCAGCCCCCCCGCGAAACCACGGTAACATAACTTGCACAGCGGTATATGGTAACATTCGAAATCTGGCGAAAATCTAGTCCGCTCGCCAGCTCTTCGGACAGTCTTCGTGACTCCCCGCCGTTCAGCGCACCTCCTCCGGCGACCCTCCCTAGGCTTCCCGCCTCGTCAGCGCAAAATTTCCGCAACCAGAGGCTGGAGCAGCAGCGGCGTCTCCCGCCTTGGGGTGTCTAGGGGACTTTCTCGGCTTGCATGGCGACTCGGCTCCTCACTTCCCTTCCCTGATGTCCTTTCCTTCGGCTCTCTCTCCACCCCCCTCCTCCCCTCACCTCCGCTGACCAGGGCATCACATTCAGTTGGGCTTGATCGACCAAACCTCTTTCGCGTGGTACCACGTAGGAACGTGAGTAAACGAACTCAACCGAATTACCGAACTTGGATCAGGCTCACCATGGACTAGAACACCTCCGCTAGGGCTTTCCTTCCGCCCTGTGTGTGAATCTGCTGCACGGCGACTCACCTCACTTCCGCTAGCCTCGCATTCCCTTCCATTCCCAATCTCTCTCGCTTAGTCGTCCTCCGCGAGTTCTCTCAGGCGCTTGCTTGCTAACTCGGTCCGTCCGTTCATGGTCGCTTCTTCAGTAATGACACGTGCGTCAAAAATAGCTTTCACTTGAGACTAGGCTTCAAATCAGAACGCTCCACACTAAACGACCGCCAGATCGTTTTCTGGATGACCGGCTGCTAGAATCATGGTTCACCGACGATTAACTCGTTACTTTCATAATAGAAGCTTAGGAGTCATCGAACGAGACCCGTCAACTCCTTTTTTTATGAAGTCTTATTATTAGACATCAGGCTCTCGCCGCGCATCAGCTGTTTCGTGAGATATTCTTTCGTGTCACGCTAGCAGCCTGAAGCTTCCTTCCACGATGACGTTTTTCGTGGTCATGCTTCGTCCTACGACGCCGTTCGCGTGGTTAGGGTTCGTCATAGGACGATACTAGGAGTTTCATTTGGTTTCCATTATTCGGAGTGGGAATTTCGCAGAGCCTGCAGCAGGCACCAGTCGATATCGCAGCATGCATCGTACGACGTCGTCGCGATGCCGTCCGTCCGACGCCGATGCTGACGTTCGACACCGCTTCCAACAACTGCTAACGTCCAACGCCTACACTGACGACCGACGTAGACACTTGCGACGTTAACGAAGATGACCGCGAAGACGCCTGACGCATTCAAAATGATGTTACTACGTGAGGATTTTCGTGAGGAGGTGGCGGTAGAGATCACGAATGCATGGATGCATGAAGAGATCTCGACGGCGAGAGAGCTCTCGACACTATTACGGACGTTCTTCGTGACGGCGAGCTCGTTAATCATCTTGCGAAATGATTGACGGAGAAGCTTTTTTGAGTCTGATTATTCGTCGATCTCGAAGAGCTCGCGAGGCCGTGGATGGTAGTACGACGGCGGATCCGCGCGTCCACTGGACGCGGAGTAGAAAGCGCGTCGGCGGGGTAGCAAGCGAAGGAGCTTCGTCGTGGTGCAACGACCGTGAGACGACCGTGCGACGACCGTGCGACGACCGTGAGACGACCGTGCGACGACCGTGCGACGACCGTGCGACGACCGTGAGACGACCGTGCGACGACCGTGCGACGTCCCTGGATCTTGTGAATTCGGCAGATGCGATTACGTCGACGTTATCGAAGCGGCCGTTTTCATGGACGCGAATTCGTCGACGTTCGCGCAGCTGCTACGGAGGAGCTCGCCGGTGAGTTTTCGCGCATCTACTATACGGAGGAGGTCTAAGGCAACGCGCTATCTGTTGGGTAAACGTTTCGTGGCTATTTTTGGCGTTCGCGTTTCGTTTGCGTTCGATCTGGCGTATATATCATGGCGTCTGTATCTCACTCACTCGTTGCGGTTTGAACTGTCTCCGTCCTTGCAGGAGCGGGAGCTAGTTTCCTGGTCTGCGTTGGAGCTACTCTCTCGCCAAGAGCTGGAGCGGTGCTGCTGCGTGCGTGCAGCCGCGGGAGAAGAGCGTGCAAGAGGTGATGCTGACTGCTGCGTTGGTGCGCGCGAGAGGAGATGGCTGACAGGCGTTGGTGATGGCGCGGTGCTGCTGCGTCCATGGAAGCATGGCGTTGACTGGCGTTGCTGCTGTGTTGGAGGCGGTGCTGCTGTGTTGGAGGCGGTGCTGCTGTGTTGGAGGTGGTGCTGCTGTGTAGCAGGCGGTGATGCTGTGTAGGAGGCGGTGCTGCTGTGTTGGAGTGGTGCTGCTGTGTTGGAGGCGGTGCTGCTGTGTTGGAGGCGGTGCTGCTGTGTTGGAGGCGGTGCTGCTGTGTTGGAGGTGGTGCTGCTGTGTTGGAGGCGGTGCTGCTGTGTTGGAGGTGGTGCTGCTGTGTAGCAGGCGGTGATGCTGTGTAGGAGGCGGTGCTGCTGTGTTGGAGTGGTGCTGCTGTGTTGGAGGCGGTGCTGCTGTGTTGGAGGCGGTGCTGCTGTGTTGGAGGCGGTGATGCTGTGTTGGAGGTGGTGCTGCTGTGTTGGAGGCGGTGCTGCTGTGTTGGAGGCGGTGCTGCTGTGTTGGAGTGGTGCTGCTGTGTTGGAGGCGGTGCTGCTGTGTTGGAGCGGTACTGCTGTGTTGGGGAAGCGGCGATTGGAAAAGCAGCAACTGGAGATACGGCGACTTGAGAAGCAAGTAAGTAACTGGAGCTCTTCCTTTCTTCTCCTCGCCCTCCCATCTTCCTCCTCATTCGCGTTTACCACTCCAGTGTTTTCAAGGCATTCGTTTTCTTTGTCGCTTTTCCGCTGTCTTTTCCTCCTTGCATTCGTTTACTGATAAACCTTCCCTGTGCGATTGCGGCTCTCTGGTCACTGTGCAGGGCGTTAATCTATGGCAGTCCATGGCGCTATGGCAGTCCATGGCGCTATGGCAGTCCATGGCGCTGTGGCAGTCCATGGCGCTATGGCAGTCCATGGCGCTATGGCAGTCCATGGCGCTATGGCAGTCCATGGCGCTATGGCAGTCCATGGCGCTCTGGCAGTCCATGGCGCTATGGCAGTCAAAGAGCAAGGAGGCAAGGAGAGCGCACGCAACTTGAGCGCGCCTGCAGGGGAGCGCAAGGGTAGCGCACACAAGAGGAGCCCGCCTGCATGCTCCTTGGACCCTCTTCCATCCGGCTAAGCTATCTCACTCAGTTCGCACCTCTCACTCGCTCGCACTCATGCCTTGCACTGCTTGCTTGCACTCACACACTCACTGCTTGCATCCTTCCGTTTTTCCTTGCTTACATGCATGAAGTTTTTCCGTTCTGTCACTTGCGTACGCCGTGCTAATCGCCTTCCCTCTCACCTCCCTTGACTGCTCCGTCCACTTGTTTCCCTCTTCTCCTCTCCTCCCGCCAGCATCCCTCTTCCTGCCATCCCTCTGCCAGCACACCCACAGGCCGGCAGCAGCAGCGAGCATGGAGGAGCAGTGCAAGCAGCGTGGCGAGTGAAGAGGCGAGTGGTGGGATGACGCACGGCCTGGGCTGGCCCTGCTGACCAGCAACGAGGCTAGGAGAAGGAGAGAGGTCTGCAATGACACTACAGCTGACAGCAGCAGTGCTTGGCAGCAGAAGAGAATACCAGCAGTGACACCAGCGGTGGCAGCAGCGGTGGGAGAAGGAGAGAGGCCCGCAATGACACTACAGCTGACAGCAGCAGTGGCTGGCAGCAGAAGAGAAGACCAGCAGTGACACCAGCGGTGGAAGCAGCGGTGGGAGAAGGAGAGAGGCCCGCAATGACACTACAGCAGACAGCAGCAGTGGCTGGCAGCAGAAGAGAAGACCAGCAGTGACACCAGCGGTGGCAGCAGCGGTGGGAGAAGGAGAGAGGTCCGCAATGACACTACACCTGACAGCAGCAGTGGCTGGCAGCAGAAGAGAAGACCAGCAGTGACACCAGCGGTGGCAGCAGCGGTTGGAGAAGGAGAGAGGCCCGCAATGACACTACAGCTGACAGCAGCAGTGGCTGGCAGCAGAAGAGAAGACCAGCAGTGACACCAGCGGTGGCAGCAGCAGTGGGAGAAGGAGAGAGGCCCGCAATGACACTACAGCTGGCAGCAGCAGTGGCTGGCAGCAGAAGAGAAGACCAGCAGTGACACCAGCGGTGGCAGCAGCGGTTGGAGAAGGAGAGAGGCCCGCAATGACACTACAGTTGACAGCAGCAGTGGCTGGCAGCAGAAGAGAAGACCAGCAGTGACACTAGCGGTGGCAGCAGCAGTGGTAGCAGCGGTGGCAGCAGTAGGGAAGGCTAGCAGTGGGAGCAGATGCTAGCAGGGAGGCTAGCAGTGGGAGCAGATGCTAGCAGCGAAGGCTAGCAGTGGGTGCAGACGAGAAGAGAAGACCAGCAGCGGGAGCAGATGCTAGCAGCGAAGGCTAGCAGTGGAAGCAGATGCTAGCAGGGAAGCTCAAAACTCAAAACTCTGCACATGGTGAGTTTTGAGTGACGTCTCAAAACTCACGCCCCCTCCTTCCTCACTTCAGATTTGCTCACTCCTTCCTCCATGCATGCAAAGCTTAGGTTTTGAGAGCAAAACGTCTCAAAACTCCCACTTGTTGTGGTTGTTGTTATTGTTATCGTTTTCTCCTGTTGAGCAGCAGAAGGAGGAGCAGCACCTTCCAGTGAGGCGCTTTGACCCCCTGGGGGGCAAAGGATCAACACGAGAGGAGCAGCACCTTCCAGTGAGGCGCTTTGACCCCCTGGGGGGCAAAGGATCAACACAAGGAGGAGCAGCAAGAGGAGGAGCAGCACCTTCCAGTGAGGCGCTTTGACCCCCTGGGGGGCAAAGGATCAACACGAGAGGAGCAGCAAGAGGAGGAGCAGCACCTTCCAGTGAGGCGCTTTGACCCCCTGGGGGGCAAAGGATCAACACGAGAGGAGCAGCAAGAGGTGGAGCAGCACCTTCCAGTGAGGCGCTTTGACCCCCTGGGGGGCAAAGGATCAACACAAGAGGAGCAGCAAGAGGAGGAGCAGCACCTTCCAGTGAGGCGCTTTGACCCCCTGGGGGGCAAAGGATCAACACAAGGAGGAGCAGCAAGAGGAGGAGCGGCACCTTCCAGTGAGGCGCTTTGACCCCCTGGGGGGCAAAGGATCAACACAAGGAGGAGCAGCAAGAGGTGGAGCGGCGCCTTCAAGTGAGGCGCTTTGACCCCATGGGGGGCAAAGGAACAACACAAGAGGAGCAGCAAGAGGAGGAGCAGCACCTTCAAGTGAGGCGCTTTGACACCCTGGGGGGCAAAGGATCAACACAAGGAGGAGCAGCAAGAGGAGGAGCAGCACCTTCCAGTGAGGCGCTTTGACCCCCTGGGAGGCAAAGGATCAACACAAGGAGGAGCAGCAAGAGGAGGAGCAGCACCTTCCAGTGAGGCGCTTTGACCCCCTGGGGGGCAAAGGATCAACACTAGGAGGAGCAGCAAGAGGAGGAGCAGCACCTTCCAGTGAGGCGCTTTGACCCCCTGGGGGGCAAAGGATCAACACAAGGAGGAGCAGCAAGAGGAGGAGCAGCACCTTCCAGTGAGGCGCTTTGACCCCCTGGGGGGCAAAGGATCAACACAAGAGGAGCAGCAAGAGGAGGAGCAGCACCTTCCAGTGAGGCGCTTTGACCCCCTGGGGGGCAAAGGATCAACACAAGGAGGAGCAGCAAGAGGAGGAGCAGCACCTTCAAGTGAGGCGCGTTGACCCCCTGGGGGGCAAAGGATCAACACAAGGAGGAGCAGCAAGAGGTGGAGCGGCGCCTTCAAGTGAGGCGCTTTGACCCCCTGGGGGGCAAAGGATCAACACAAGAGGAGCAGCAAGAGGTGGAGCGGCGCCTTCAAGTGAGGCGCCTTCAAAATGTAATTTCTGTGCTGCCCCTCTTCTAGGTACAGCAAGCATTAAGGGGCAACGCCAAGGCGGGAGCAACACGGGGACGCAGCAGCAAAGGATTAAATTTGTGCCGCCCCTCTTCTAGGTACAGCAAGCATCGAGGGGCAACACCAAGGCGGGAGCAACACGGGGACGCAGCAGCAAAGGATTAAATTTGTGCCGCCCCTCTTCTAGGTACAGCAAGCATCAAGGGGCAACACCAAGGCGGGAGCAACACGGGGACGCAGCAGCTAGGACCCGTTGTAAGCTGCAGTCTTGTTTGCTTTCTTGTGTCGTCTCATGCCTAATGTTGTGATGTGTGTGTCTTCTTGTCTAAGCCGTCACGAAGACATCAAGACGCCTCCACCCCCCTCGGTAAGTGCTCTCCAAGTTTCTGCTTTCTGTTTTCCACATGCACTAATGTCGTTGTTGCTTCCCGTTTCAGACAGCCGCGAGACTTCACGACGCCTCCAGCCCCCTCGGTAAGTGCTCTCCAAGTTTCTGCTTTCTGTTTTCCACATGCACTAATGGCGTTGTTGCTTCCCGTTTCAGACAGCCGCGAGACTTCACGACGCCTCCAGCCCCCTCGGTAAGTGCTCTCCAAGTTTCTGCTTTCTGTTTTCCACATGTACTAATGTCGTTGTTGCTTCCCGTTTCAGACAGCCGCGAGACTTCAAGACCGGAGCAGAGGAGGCGCAGAGGGAGAGGAGGCGCGGAGGAGAGGAGGCGCGGAGGAGAGGAGACGCGGAGGCGTGGAGGCGAGGAGCAGCGGAGGCTAAGGAGAATTCCCTGCCATTGAACTGCCGGTGAGCATCTGCCTTCGTTTATTGATCCTTTGGATGGATGGTTGTTGCTCTGTTCGCTTGGCATTGGCTTTGAATCAGTTCTTGGCCCTGGGTGCAATCGCTGGGTGCTCATAAGCTTTTCCTTCCTTCCTATTCCGCAGGAGATGCATCTTTGGGGACGGAGCAGCAGACGAGGAGGAGCAGGGGAGATGCATCAAAGGAGGAGGACCAGAGGAGAGCAGAGCTGCACTGGCCCCCACCGCTGCTGGCCTTATGGAGGGGGGAAGGCGCCAGTATTGACAGGAGCAAGGTGGAGCTGTTGCTGCCTGCGGCTGCTGCCTTGTGCTGTAGCTGCTGCTACCAAGTGGTGGGACGGCTACTGCTACCTCCCGCGCTCGTACCTCTCTCCCTTGTGCTGCTGCTGGGGCTACGAAACTGCTGCGTTGGAGGTGGAAAGGTGGTGCTGTGTTGGCAGCAGCAGCGGCAGCAGTGGGACCACGAGCAATACCAGAAAACTGCAGCAGCGACAGGTGCTACCTC